GAAAGTCGTTCCTTTGAATAAATAACAAACATTTTTTAAGTGTTTGCATACAAGCCATTAACTAACCAAAAATAAAGAGGAGGGGAAGAATTGAGGGACTTCAAGGTAATGCTGGAGAAACCACTGCCAACTGAGGCCCAATCATAAATGAAGAGCTGGTGTCAGAACGAATGAAGCCAAAGATCCAATTCGCCCACAGTGCTCCTCAAATGCATTTCTTCTTTTACGATCGATTATAAAAATAGGGGGATTTCATAAAAACCAAGGAGTTTGGAAATGTTATTGCTTTCCGTTAAATCAGAAGCCTTCATCCTCCCTGTCTCCGAGCTGGTATCAGTCACTAGATTTAACTTTGACACTTCCAGAGCAAGACAGCGGAGCCTTGGCTGAAGGTTATCTTAGAACACATTGCAAGAAAAAAACAGGCTCCAGTGAGCTGGTAATAATCCAGATTATCATCTATTCCCCTTTCAGAGCAACAATGGATTTTAACCAGGTTTCTGTTTTATAAATATTACCGTGGCTCAACACATCTAGGAGGAAACACAACATTACCCTCGGCTTTCATCCTGTTTGTGTACTAATTATATCAACAACCTGAACCAACTTAACACTATACAAAAACACAGCTGATTTAGCAATCTGTAAATTATACATGTACATAAATGTGTACCAAAATGTGCTACGTTTCACTCCTGCTAATGTGCATGGATTCTTACTGGCACCTACAATTGTTTGATATAGGTTTCCGAACACTAAAACATATGTTCTGCCTAGAATGGGACCATTTAGGGTAATATTTTTTTAGTTTCCTGGCACAAAGGTCTGCCAGCCTTCCTAAGACAGTAAGTGCCTGGATTTAAGCAACCATCAAAAAATATTCTGGAACAACACTTTCCAATCATGAATATAAAGAGAAACAGGCTGGTAAGAAAGTCAACAGAAGGATTTGAAATGATCACTGACATGACCATAAGCAAAATCTGGGGAATAGTTAATTATTCCTGCTAACTACTTGCAACTATCCAAAAAGCACGTAACTACTAAATCTCTCCTCCAAATGGTCTTCAGAATATATCAGAGAAAGTTAAACCAGATTTTAGTCCTATCAAGACCAGTTAAACACCTTAAAAATGTTTTTTGCTTTTTTTTTTAAACACGATGCCAGGCCTAAATAAGAGCTGCAAGCAGAAACACTGTGGAAAGGGTCAAGATGCTTGGACCAAGATTCACTAGAATGTAAATTTCTAAGGAGTAAGGAGGGTTTCTGGATTCCCACTATATCCCCAGTGTTCAATAACTGTGCTCAATAAATCGTTTTGAATGAACAAACCTGTCACAGCTGCTGACGAGTCCCCGATGTGTCTCTAACTGCATTTTCTAACTCTGCCTTTTACTAACTGTAGCTAAATTACTTAATCTAAGGATTCCTCTCTTTTTTTAGATTTTTATTTATTTATTTGAGAGAGAGACACAGTGAGAGAGAGAGCACAAGCAGGGGGAGTGGGAGAGGGAGAAGCAGGCTTCCCGCCGAGCAAGGAGTCCGACGCGGGGCTCGATCCCAGCACCCCGGGATCATGACCTGAGCCGAAAACTGACTCCTAACTGACTGTGCCGCCCAGGCACCCCGAGATTCTTAGCTCTTGAAACTCTAAAATCGCCACACTGCACCTCCTCTGCTGGCATTTGAGGATCAAAGTTATTTAATACTTTATAACAGGTGCTTGAATAAGTAAGTGCCTGTTACCCTGCCGGTGACTTCAGTTAACCCACTGACAAAGGTGAAAAGGTGAAAATACCGCCCTTCCTTAAAACAGAATTAGCTTCTCCTTTGCCCTGTTACTCAGTTTGGATGTGGTAGTGTGGCTGTTAGCCAAAATGGATGTTGTTCTTGCTGTTGTAACATTTTATTCAGTCTCCACTGGGAAATTAAGCTTCTCTAGAGAACATAATGGTAATACAAGGAAGGTCATTGCAGAGTGTACCATGAGGGACACGACACTGGGGTCAAGGGACTTCGGGTCTCATCAGCTCTGCCCTTAAATATTTGAGGAAATGCGCTTGTTTCACTTTCTTCATCTGTACAAAGATGGGGGAAGGAGAGGCAGACGACACAGCATCGAATCCTACAGGTTATGATATTCCAGACACCAGATATTCAAATGCCCCAAGACAAAGCCAGTTCTATTATCCAGAAGCACAGTTGTCAGATGGCTGGAGAAACAATGATGAATGATACCCTCCAAAGACCTCCTGCATCAGGCACTGTGTGCTTCCCACTTTGAACAAGTCACTTAATATTCCTAGGGCTCAGTTTTCTGATCTGTAAATGAGGAACAATAATACTGCATAAGATCACTGGGAGAAAATGCTTAATAAAGATGATCCAAAAAGTATTGCTATTTAAAGGTAAACTGCTATTTCAATACTGTAATGTCCAAAAAAAGGTTAGTGGATTTTAGGAGGAGACAATCAATATTTTTAAATAGACTTTTTTCCATCACAGTAAAATAAAATAATGCACGAAGATACCGTGATAGTTCCAAGAGTCCACATAGTTTTCTTCTATTTGTGTTTTGGAAATGTGATGAAAGGGATCACTAAAAGCTTAAATCCCACATGTCAAGACCAGAATATTTTCTTCTGAAATAATAGATAATTTTAAAAGTTCATCCAACTTTCCTACGATGTTTTGTTTGTGTTGCTGATGTCGTTTGGTTGGTTGGTTAGCTGAAGTCAAGCTGTTGGAATTGGTGCTGAAATTAAAATGCCAATGCTAAAAATATTGCTAGCTACTTAGTCTATTGACACTCTATATATGCTTAGAGAGGAGAAGTGGCTCTAAGAAAATCAACTAGAGTATTCTGCCATCTCAGCTCCAAGATTTATTTTGTGTTTGTGTGGTATTAGTTTCACCATTCTTTTTTCTTTTTAAGATTTATGTATTTATTTGAGAGAGACAGAAAGGAAGTGCAAGAGGGGGAGGGGCAGGAGAGTTGGGGTGGGGAAGAATCCTCAGTGGGGAGCCTGACTCCGGGCTTGATCCCAGGACACTGAGATCATAACCTGAGTGGAAATCAAGAGTCAGACACTCCACCGACTGAGTCACCCTGGTGCCCCTGGTGCCACCATTCTTAAGGTCCTCCTACAAGCCCAAGGCACCTTATGACTGTTACATGTAAGATTCTGCTACCTCCCTCTCCACTCAAAAACATTAGATGATACACATTAGACACAAGGTTCCCCCTATACCTTAAAAAACACTGCCTCTTCACCCCCCAGCCCACCCCGCAAAAATGGAATTGTCATCGATATTTATGAGAAAGTTGGTGTCACTGGCACTGGGCTCCCCAAATCTGCAAGACTGTCTCCACTCCACATGCCCTAACAGGTCAATAACCACAGCAATCACAGCCAATTAATTCTTACCTAGTGATTTTATTTAAAAATCCATGAACACCTCTACCTTTTTTTATGACAGAAGAGTTCATTGTGACTCTTCAGGTAGTAAATATCATCGCCTTGAGTCCCCAGGTAATAGCTGTGACCTTGTTCTAAAAGCTACCTCAGTTCTTTTGAGTGAGGAGGACCTTGAAGGGAAAGGTGACTAACCAGAAACCCTTCAATACTCTTATTCTTAAGAGGCACACAATAAATGATCATTTCTAAAATATTTAAATAATACACAATAATATGCTATCCTAGTCGACAAGTTTTTTGTTGTAAGCTAAACTTAAATCACTTTTTAATTAAAAAGTATTTCTTGGGAGCATAAGTCACTTTTCACGCTCTTCCCCTGAATCCCTAACTAAATCCAAATAGAAGCCCATGATTTTAACACAAGCTCCTCCTTAAGGCTCTAAAGCTGTGATATTTCCGCATTTTTTAAAACCTATTGCCCAAGTTAGCTCTTCGTGTCATCTGCCTCCTCTGGAAGGAGAGGAGTCCCGGAGCCTGTAAAGAGCATCTCCAGACTTGGCCCCCGTTCATTTCAGCCTTTTGACGAACGGGTGTGCACCGCACCTTCCAGATGCCCACCTCCTAGCTGCTCTGCAAGCGCTTTAGCCAGGACGCTTTGCTGTGGGTCCTGAAGGTGTCGGAAATGTTTCCCTTTCCATCCTTGCTGCTAGGACTCTCACCGTCTCCCGCTTCATGCCACTGTCCATCTTAATGCCACAGAGAAAGAGAGGAGCGGGGAGCACTCGTTTACTGGGTAAGGGATAGATTTACAGGCTTGGTGAGCTTGGGAATGTCTAGGTGAGCAAGATTTATAAGCATAAAACACTGCTGAGGTTTGGAAAAGAGGAACTATGGCAGGTTTGTCCCTGTGACAGCTTGGCCAGCTCTGCACCTATGCGCTCCATTTCCCATCGAAGTCCAGGAAACTGCCCCTCAGGAGCCTTCACTTAACCTCCAGGAGGGTGGGTGGGTGAAGAGGTGGAACCGGGTAACCTGCAGCACGTCCCTACATCCCCGCGTCCCCACACCTCGGACTTTTCAGCCGCCCGATGGAAGGTGGAAGCAGCCGCCGCCCCCATCCCTCGGGGGCCCGGACCCTAGTGGCCTCTTCTACTGCTGGCTCTCCCTGGGGAGAGGCGGCACCTGGGGTGCAGCCAGAGAGCCCCGCGAGCCTTCGCGGCGGGGTGGGCAGTACCCATGGGGAGCGCGCTGCCGCTCGTGCCGCGTCCGGCTTCCCATCACTTTCCCAGTACTTTGCCCATCAGCTGTCACGCTCGCTGGAGAGAAGACCGAGAAGGCGCGAGAAGGGCCCCCAAAGGCGTCCCCAGCAGAGCTCTCCTCTTGGGATGGGGGGCCCACAGACCTCGCCCCACCCTGCCCACCTAGCCCTGCCTCCGGGAGGCAGCTCCGGACGCCCGCGCTGGGGCTCCCAGCAGAGCTCCGGGTTCTACTGCATCTGCTGGCGCCGAGCGGCGGGAGGCGTCGGCAATCGAGGCACGGATAAAAAGCCTGGGTAACCGAAATCCGAATGCACCTCTTACCACTGGACCGCCGGACAATATTCTCCAGAAACGTGTTCTGCGGGGCCACCAGTCCTCTCCTGCCCCCGGCCATGGTCATCCTCCCGGCAGCTTGGGGTCCTGGGGCCGTCCCGGCGCGGCTTCTCACGGCAGCAGGAAGCTGGGCGCCGGGCCCTCGCGCGATCCCGGATCGAAGCGCCCCATGCGCCCCGCGGGGACCCGGGCGGCCAGGGGCGGCGGCTCCCTCCGGCTGCCACCCTCGCGCCCTCTTCGCGCCTCCCTACCGGCGGCCCGCCTCGCAGAGCGCTCGCGCCAGGCTCGCCTCGCCGCAGCCGCTTCCGGGTGGGCGGAGGGAGCCGCGGCGCCTGGGACAGGGCGCCCCCTACCGGGCGCTGCCCCACCACCACCACCGCCGGCCTGCGGGAGAGCGAGCGGGGGGCTCCCGCAGCGGCCGGGAAGCGGCGGGCGGCGATGGGCCGAGGCCGGGTTAGCAGCGCCACCCTCTGGGCGCAGCCCGGCGATGGGTTCGGCATGAGCCTTGGGCTGGTGGAGAGGGCGGCGTTTGGAGCCGTGTCCTTGGTGGATTCACTTCCAACAAGGTCACCACGAGTCCGGGGGGGGGGGGGGGGGGGGGAGGGGGGGACATGATCCTGTAACCCTCTTCCTTCGCTCTGTTTCAGGCCGGAGCCTCTGGGAGCTCTGAGACTCTTGGAACACCTTCCAGCCTCTCCTTAGGGTTTGTTAGCCTCATTTGTGAAAGTTGCCAGTGTTTCACCAGTAGTTAAAGAAGTTGAATTTAAGAGGTCAGACTTGCAGAGTGACCAACTGACCGAGCTCCAGAAGAACTGTCTTGAGTTGTTAAAGATAACCAAAGGCACAAATGCAGGCTCTGGACGTTTGATCAGTTTGCTGAGTGACTGACCTGATTCCCACTCTTATCCAGCATCTCTTGTCACAAAAGGCCAAGAAAATATATGTATCTATGCATCACTTTTTTTTGCTGAAGCACAACCTGTTATGGTCAATGTGTGAGGTTAGGGAACAGGCACAAACTGACAGACGTCAAAATGGTGGGCTTGCTTCTGAGGGTGGAGGGAGGGGGTGGGCAGCTTCCCCAACATTTAACATTAAGTAATAATTACGCACGACCTTGGCTTGAAGGACTGTCTACACCACAAGGATGAGGTACTGGTCTCCACACCTGCCCCTGATATGAAGAATCACATACACCAAAGGTTTCTGGGCAGGAGCTCCCGTTTGCTCACTTTGCTGTGCTCACTTACATTGGGCCATTTCCACCTGCACGTGACTCTTCACCTGTCTTTTATATTGTATGTCCCCCAGTGGGCGTGGCCAGAGGCCATGCCCTACAAAAGGAATGAGTTGATAGTTTTCTAGTTAGTTCCAGGCTAGATAAATAGTCGACACAAAAATGTTTACGAGGGAAAAACAGACCCCACCACCTCAACTGTCTAGGTTAACCATCCTGACTCATCCTATTCTATTGCAGATACCCTATCTCCATTTACTAGTCTCAAAATACAAGGGCTGATTCTTGCCCAGCAATGCCTCAGAGTTACTGTGAAGATCAAACATAATTATGCCGGGGGCAGCACTCTAAACCATGAAGTGCTATACCACGGTGAGACGTCATCATTTGAGTGACTAAATAAATTGGGCCATTGTGGACATCATCGTGTGTGGGCACAAAGTAAATAGATGAGGGCTAATAGCCGAGTTAGGTAAGGCTTGCTTAGGCTTTGAAATCAAAGTAATGATACTTCTTCCATAAGATCACATCAGACGCCCAACTTAGAGCTGTGATTTCTTAAGCCCTAGCTCCGTCTAGTGGTTCTTTGTTCCATTACAAATGAGATAACAAATGGCAGTTGACAAGAACTTACTGAAATGTATTTGGTGCTGAGCTGGCTCGGTGGTGTCTGCCCACTTCATTTGAATAAGTTCATTTGAATAAGGCTCTTAAGGTTATGCTATCTACTGCACAAACATGCCCAAGGAGAGATTTTTCATGACAATATTAAAAACCCATCGAGCAACCACATAATCCTACTTGTGCAAGGAAGATAAAGAAGAGAATGGGGGAAAACTGTCATAGAGAATTAATAAAACTTCTCAGATTTTAATGAGCTTTTGTGTTCTGTGGCTCAGATAAAAAAGAAACAGATGATACTCATTTGAAGTGAGAGATGTTAAAGCTTTTAACTGATAAGAAAAAAGAACAAGGAGATCTCTTCCATTTTAATTTTAAATGTACTACTACAGTGATTCTCATCATGCACTACATTGTGGGGGGGGGCACAGTTTTGAATACTATAAATTTTAGTGGCACACTTGAAAAGATTAAAAGGCCTAAAAGAACACTAAAAAGTCAGCAATCTTTAACCACCATCACTACTCAGTGTGACCATGTCTCACAGTGTCTATGAAAGCACGCCTCAAAGAGAAAGCAAAGCATTCTCTTGCCCAACCCTCAACACTATCAAACTCTGGGAAGAGAGTCGTGTTCTGCCCCAACCACATTCTCTTTGATAATTCACAGGCCAAGGTTGCACGTGCTCAGTAAACACACCATCTTTTCAGGGGCTGGTTTGACAATACACTATGCTTCTTACCTCTTATTTGACACCTTCTGTTCCCGACTCTACATTCAGTTCCAGGATCTGCTTAGCTTCAGATTCTGAGATCTATCACTGAAATGTAGGACTCTCAGTTGGAGCAAGCTTTCTTACAAATTCGTCAAAATTTGGTTAACACATTTGTAAAGGATTCACAATATACCAATGTGCATTGGCAAAGCAGTTGAGAGTTCCCATATTTTTATATAACAGACAAAGCCACTTTTCATTTAAAGAGACAATTTTAAATAACTGTGACCAGAATTCCAATTAAGCTGCCTCTGTCCCTCCCCCTCCCTGCAGAAAGTGGGGTACCACTGTCTAGAACTTCTACCAAGAAGGATACAGAGTCTGAAATGAAAACTTGTAAACTTTGACTCCAGTGTCTCTTGCCTACCTTTCTCAGTGGTTCTCCTCCTGTACTCTCCAGTGTTTAGTTTATTCCTCAATTATAACGTGAGTTTATATCCGTATCACACAATACATGGAGAGCTCCTTGAAACAAAGATGAACTTTGCCAGTCTTTGTTCTGACCAATGTAATTGAGCCATGATGTAATTAGTGAGTTCCCAGGGGGCTTGAGAGTAATGGAGGTATACCACAACAGAGAAAGCATGGCGATGGAAGTCTGCAGACTGGCTGGGAAAAGAGTCCAGGAGATAACAGAAAAATCTCTATGCCTGACAACAACAAAAAAATCTATCAAATGCGGAGGAAGACAATGCCACATACGGGAGGGAGAGGTGGAAATGGTATCATGCAAAGACAGAAATTACATTTTTTTTTCCTTTTATTAAGACTATTACGTATAGGTGACATTTTTCAGAAAGCCAAGGACCCCTCAAACATGGGAGAGTCACCTGTGAGTCCTGGAAGGTACTGGGAACCAGAATGGCCAAGCAGGGATGCCTCATCAATACCAAACAATTAGCACCCATAGGAGAAATTGAACGCGGAGGTAACTTCACCTGCTCTGCCACCATGAGTGAAATATTTAAAACGGGGAATTTGCAGCAAGAGAAATTTCAGCTTCTATAACCCAATGACTGGTGTATTATGCGTTATATTTAATTTCTGTTAACAAAAATTCTTTTCTAATAAACTTACAGAAAGAGGGTTGTGAGGGCCATATCCACGGGAAGGACCTGTTCTTTATTATAGAAATCTCCCGCCGAGTCCTGGGAGAAGGGAGAGAATCTGCCACAGTGAGCTCATAGTCCATTCATATGTGACCGGGGGGCAAGGATGCACAGATGTGGGTGTTGCACTCAACTGTGGCTAACTCAATAGGCATTTATAAATGTTTGTAGAATTGGGTTATGTCCTTCTAAATGCCCAAAGTTAATATCCTTCTTCCTCATTTCCTCTTACCATCAGAGAACGGGATCTGTTACTACACTCCCTCTTGTGGAAAATAATTAAAAGCCATTTACAACAGTCTCATTTTATTATAACAAACATTTGCTCAGAGGCTAACATATACCAGACACTGGGATAGATTCTAAGGATGGAAAGATGCTAATGATTGGCACTTGCCCTCGAGAAACTCAATAAACACTTGGTGAATGCTTTGCTTCTTTATAATTTCTCTCCTTTCAGCTACTTTCCTCTCTCAGTTACACACTCTAAGTCTTTCTTTCTTTGTCAATAAATTATAATTCAGCTTGATCTTGTCACTGAAGACTTTCCCGTCTCCTCTTAACTGAGACTTGGCTTTCCTCTGAGGTCTTGCAATCCCACAGATCCCCCTCCTTTGGAGGATATTCATCTGCTATGGCCTTTCAGTGAGAATTCATCTAATCCCTCAGTACCATCTAATCCAAATCACTACTCTTCCACATTCATGTAAACTTTCTCCTCTGAAGACCATGACCAATAGAAATAACACTCTACTCTTCTTCATTTCTTACAACAGATTTAGGGAAACTTTTATTCAGTTTTGAAGAAGTTGAGGTGTTTTGGGGACATTACAAAGAAATATTGAGTAGGCAGGTGGATACACACAGGTGTAGAGCCCAAAAGACACATCTGGGTAGAGCCAGAGATTGGAAATCAACAATTTACAGACTTCAGAGGAAGCTGAGAAGGAGGAGTTTAGAAACAGGGACAACTCTGAGAAGCAGTTTTCTAGAAGCCCAGAGAAAGTCTTTTTTTTTTTTTAAGATTTTATTTATTTATTTGACAGATAGATAGAGAGCACAAGTAGGCAGAGTGGCAGGCAGAAGGAGAGGGAGAAGCAGGCTCTCCGCCGAGGGGGGAGCCGGACATGGGGCTCAATCCCAGGACATCATGACCCAAGCCAAAGGCAGCCGCTTAACCAACTGAGCCACCCAGGTGCCCCAACCAGAGAAAGTCTTTAAGTGGGAGAAATGAAGAACACCATCATACGCTATATACTGTAAACACTGGAAAATGTCCACTGGATCTAATGATTCATTGGTGATTTGAGACTTTAGTAGATACATTTTCAATGGAATACTGGGGAAGAAGCCAAATTACAATGGGTTTAAAGAGTAAGTAGAGGGGCGCCTGGGTGGCTCAGTTGGTTAAGCGACTGCCTTCGGCTCAGGTCACGATCCTGG